GTCTGAATCCATGAATCCATTAAACAAAGAAGAAAAAAAAAATGCCAAAACCCTAACGGTCCTGTGTGAGAACATACCCCTGAGCCGGACCTCATTAGCGACATCTGACAACCAACTGGGCCACCAGCCAGGGTCCCAACTCTTAATGATACGGGCTCACTTTAGAATCAGGTTCATTTTTTTTAATGACATAATAGGGAAATGATCACAGGCCGTGAGGTAGGAAGGAGAGGTGGATAATGAGGAAGGGGAAAGGGAGAGAGTGACACTATGGGGGATGCTCACGAGGGAAGATCTAAGGGACAGAAGAACAAAGACCTGGAAGGGAGAAAGGAGAGGGAACGGGCTCGGGCTTCGACAACAGCCATTTGATTCATCTGCTCCATTATTCCAGGAACAAGGAAGCAATCCATGAACATGGAAAGCAGATTCTGCAGCGTGCTAAAGAGCGGCCCTGTAGTGGCGCGCATCTGTCACACGTGACTTTACTGTGAGAGCATACACGGAGACAGACACACGGCAGAGCTGGGGTCTGCAAGAACACATGCTAGCATAAATGGAGACAGTTTCAGTCATCGGCCGGGAACTCAGGTGTACTACTGCGTGACAAAGCACACTGACGGAGTCCTGGTGTCGGATGCGGATGCAACCAACACTAGTTACTTTAAACAAAGATTAGGATTAGGTGGGCCATGGATTTACTGCAATAAAGAAATGACAGGCATAAGGGTTTGCCTATGTAATTATGTAAAAGGGTTTGTATCAATGTACAGAAATGCCATCAAAGGCTGTTCACGCAAAGCAGACAGGTGTTTATCTTTCTTTTGGGGGCAAGGAAGACCGTAAGATACATATTTTAAATTTTTAAAATTTACTCTTTGGGAACAAAGCCATTCCGCTATACTGAATCTGATACTTTTTCCAATTACATTGGGAAGCACTAACGAATGTATCACTTTTTAAACTTCGCTTTGTAACACTTGAGTGCTTACCACTTGATGTGCCATTTAAAGGATAATTAATGGATAAACTAAAAGGATAATTATTATGGAGTTTAATATAGCAGGCAAACTGCTCATTAATCCTTACAAGCATGGCTTCGTTATTATCATTTACTTAAAAAGATACCACAGGGAACTGGTATTTACCACCACATTAACTACGTATTATAGACCACACTGTACGTTTCAGCGCTAATCCTGGTTTATTTCAAAAACAAGCTTTATTTAAAACAGCAAATCTGTTGGCTAATCGATACTCGGGAAAATTACCCACAACTTTCACACGCGTTCTCTTCATTATTCATACGGAAGCTTCCTTTAGGAAAAGCTGAGACATCTTGCAGCAGAGCGAGTCTGCACTACCAGACAGACATGAACAATAAAGATGTACAGAATGGGATAACCAAGATGACACTAACTGAGATTGAGCAAGGTTCAAGAGACAACACAAATGTAAATAATTATGCCAATTTTCTGGGGTGTTATTTAAATAATCAATAAAAATATCTTATGGGACATCTGGCAAATAATTTGCCCTTAATAAATCCTGGATAACCACAGCTTGTCTGACATTTTCTGGAAACTATGGTAATGTACCATAAAAGGAAACGAGCCAGAATGTTAACAATATTGAGTCAGGCAGCATGTTCAGAGGTGACTTTTTTCTTGATGTGGGAAGGTCATCTGTCTATCTGTTGCTTTCATTGGTTAATTAATAAAGAAACTGCTTGGCCTGATAGGTCAGAACATAGGTGAGTGGAGTAGACAGAACAGAATGCTGGGAAGAAGGGAAGTGAGGGCAGACACGATGGAGCCAGCCGCCAGGTCAGACATGCTGAATCTTTCCCGGTAAGCCACCACCTCGTGGTGCGACACAGATTATTAGAAATGGGTTAAGCAAGATATGAGAGTTAGCCAAGAAGAGGCTAGATATAATGGGCCAGGCAGTGTTTAAAAGAATACAATTTGTGTGTTGTTATTTTGGGTGTAAAGCTAGCTGTCTGGGACCGGGCGAGATGAAAAGCTGGCCTGCTCACCTCCTCACTACAAATGGTGTATAAGCTAGCCAGGCGGCTGGGAGCCAGGTGGCAGGAATATAGCCCGCTGCTCCTCCTACATTTTCTTCTATATCTTTTTCATTTACATCTTAAAAAAAATCCAAGTCTTGCTGGGCGGTGGTGACGTACACCTTTAATCCCAGAAGTTGGGAGGCAGAGGCAGGCAGATCTCTATGAGTTCAAGGCCAGCCTGGTCTACAAACTGATTTTTAGGACAGCCAGGACTATCACACAGAGAAACCCCATCTCAACCAAACAATAACAACAAAACTAAAACCAAGTCTTTCTTGTAAAGGTGTAAATAACACAGCGTAAGTCCATCTGCACTCTTTCATGGCTAAAAAATTGAGACAGAAAAGAAATGCAATACAGGTCTAGCTTAAGTCTGACTTCTCAATTCCTTCCGTTAATGGCTTCTTGGTCATGTGCCTGCATGGAGGGGCTGTGCATGATGTGTGGACACACATGGCAAGGCACGCATGATGCAGTCAGGGGACAACTTTACGGAGTCAGTTCTCTTTCCTTCCACACTTCAGGGATCCAGTTCT